TATTTTTAAGTAGCTGGAGGATGATGGGGCTCGACGCCAATTTGGGCAACAAGTTCCTCGACAGCAGGAGTCTTTGCAACCTCTTTAGGGGTAGAAGTTGGGACATTTTACGAAGGCTCGGCTGAAGGAAGGTTGACAGTAATAGGAGGGAGCGTAGCCAGATCCTTGACCTCCTGCTTAATGCATTCATTCTCCTCTCCTTCCTCCTCGCCCTCACTGTCAAGCTCGAAGTCATCCAAGTAAACATAGGTCATCCCTTAAGCCTTGGTCCTCATCCTATCGACCTCTTTCTGATAAGCTCGCGGAAGAAAGGAGGAGTCCATCGAGGGATGAGCTTCCCATAACTTCTGTACAAGGAAGACTGACGTCTCCTAAGCTCGGTTTGTAACAGCCTCGTTCAACTCCTTGATTTCTAGCCTAAGCTGCTTAGTTTCAGCCTCGACTTTTTATCGACCTTCCACCTCCCAGGCAAGATCGAGTGAGACCTGCTTAAACTTTGCCTCCTAATCCGAGTCAGTTTTCTAAGCCGAGGTAAGCTTATAATTCAGCTTATTGTTGGCACCTCGTTGTTGTCCCAAACTCTTCTCAGCCTTGACTGCCTTAGCTTCAGCCTTTGCCCGAGCAGCGTTGCTCGCCTTAATTTTTTCAAGGAACTCCCTTTCCTTGACCCCAAAGGTCACCATTTCTTCTTTAAGCCACTCAAGCTCGGCCAAGGCATCCTCCTTAAGCATTTTCGCTTCCTGTCATCCTTTATGAGTGCCCTCCAATGTGGGGTAACACTCATCATAGAGAAGTCTGCTCACCATGTAAGCCTAAAAAAGGAAAAATGCAAGTCAGTGAGGAAAATCATATATAAAAAAAAGAGAAGAGGGCGAACTACTGGTACCTTTGCCACATAGCTGCACACCTAAGCCAACAGCTATGGAGGAGATAAATCCTTAATACCCATGAAAGTTTGCGAGGTGATGGCATCCCTGGTCATCATGGCCTCGACACTAATGTGCTCGAGGAATTGGTTGATTATTGCATCAACCAAAACTCGAGTTACCTTGTCCATCTTTATGCCTCCTTGTTGAGTCAAGCTTGGTTTACTTTCCACAAGAATGATAGCTTTGACCGTGGGAATGGATTTTTTCTTGGCCAAGTCCTTGGCGGCAGATTTCTTTGGGCCGCCAACTTGCCCTGTAACCTCCTTGCCCAGGCCACCTTATTACTCGGCAACCTTCTGTTTTCCCGAGCCCCTCTAAGGCTTGGTCATTTTCTTCTTATTGGAGCCTTCATGCTGCTCCGACGTTTTTTTCTTGCTTGAGCCATCATGTTGCTCAGACACTTTCTGTTTCTCCGAGCCTCCAATTAGCTTGGATGCTTTCTTCATTAGCCTTTTTTTGGGGCTCGGGGGCACCTTTCCCATCAACTGCCTTGGAGGCAGTCGCGAGCTTCTTAGCACTTGGGCCTTCCCCAAGCTCACCTCCGCTTTGTTTAAAGGTCGGATGCGAGGCACCCTACCTGACTGTTACAGTAGCATCGGTAGGCTGCTTCTTCGCCCAAGCAACTGGCAGCTTTTTAACAGCCTCGGAAACTGCCTTCTTCTTCTTTAGGCCCTTTGATTTCTCAACTCACATTTCTACAAAAAGAGAGGCAAACAATCAGTGACCTACATAAAAAAAAAAAAAAAAAAAAAAGCACGAGCCAATAAACACTTTACCTTTTTCAAGGATGGTGATGAAATTGGCATTGTCTAGGCAAAATCTGTACGCCCTCAGTCGAGGAACTGAGATAATCTCGTTGATGTTGCTCCCCTTGTCGAAGAGATCGCTGAAGCCTCTATAAGCTCATCACGAGGAGAAAATTCTACCTAATGTTAACTGCACAACAAAGAAGTTTGGTTAGTTTGACCATCGAGCTTGAAAACATTTTTTGCACACACTAGGGGTTGAAGTCTTACTAGCTTCTAAAGTAATAACGTCGATCTCCCTGGCCTCATAAAAGAAAAACTGAGAGTCCTAATGTAAGACCTTCTTTGGAACGTTGACCAAACTGTTGAAATGTACCTTCCTTGCTTTGGAAAGATAGTATGTTTGGTCTTGACCCTTCTTTAATCTATACAAATTGACGAGCTTCTCAACAAATGGCTCACCCAACTCAGCTATTTGGTATGCTATGTACAGACTTATAATTATGACGTATGAGTTCATGGATAGCTGGAGAGGGATGATGTCAAACCGTCTCAAAACGTTGTCAATGAAATGGTAAGTGGGGATAGAAAGCTCAAACCTCTGGAGGGACTCAGAAACTGCCACGCAGTCCGCGGGGGGATTCTTCTAAGAGAAGCCTCCTGAAACCCTCAAGTTAAGTTGAGGCACATAAGTCTCATTTAAACACCTCAGATCCTCGACTCCAATCGAGGATTATGGTTTTTTACACGGCTTATGAGCCGGAGACTTCTTTGGCTGAGCGACCTCCCCAGAGGCATTGTAGGAAGAGTGTGTTGCGTCGGGGTCCGAGCTCCGTGCGATGACCTCCTTGGAAACCTTAAGAACTATGCCCCTAAGAACTGTCGAGCCCACAAGGGAGTCGAACATGCGATCAATGGTGTTGTTGCTTGACGAAGACAGGCCTATGGCTCGTCTCTAGGTACTTGAAACAAAAGCAAACATGTGTCAAAGCTTGAAAAACTCTGTGACTTATCCACACTTTGCTTTCAGTTTAGGCACTCGGGATGGCTTGCGTCAAACAACAGACATATGTGACCTACCAGGGTTCTGACGGCCGCCACCATAAACCCTCCTTAAAAGACTCAGTGTGGCCACAACAATGGCCACCTACAACCGCAAAAGTCATGAAAGTAAGTAACAGAAGGGAAAAGAAGTCTTACCAAACTGAAAGATGAGATGAACTCACCGGAAAAGCACCGTGAAGATGAAAAAGCAGCAACGGAATTAGCAAAAACGCTTGAGAACTTTTGCAAGGTGTGTAAGCTTTTTGACAAGTTCACTTACTTTTATAGTGGTTTGCATGGGAGACGAAAGGGCAAGGTTCGATCGTAGCCGTCGATCTACAGTGAATCTTGGCCTTCTATTCGTCGAGCAATCTCAACCCTTTGACGTGACCACATGTCAATAATCCGCAAGGGGCGATCAACCATTAGACTGCCATATTCATAACCGTCGTGGCTTATCGCCTTAACTTCGTGTGTGGACAGTTGTATCACCCACGTGCGACGAAAAGTAACTGCCAAAGGCTGTCACATTTAATGTGACATAACCGTAGAGAATTTACACAAATAGCCTTTCTTTTCAAATTTCGAGTTTGTGAAGAATGTCACATAAGAGAAAAGGTCAAGTGTTAAGTACATCGACTGAGGATGAGTTTGATAATCCATATTCAGTGCACAACTGATGAAGTTTGAGCTTGATGTCAAATTGAGCAATAGTCTTCGAAGTTTGAAATGAGCACTGAACACTAGAGGACAGATGTTGTCTGTGATTTTTTTGTCAAGCTCGGAGAATCACGAGGTTATAACTCGATCCAGAGCCAGCTCGACTCTACCGATAGTTCAACCCAACACAAGCTAGTCGCAACCAATCCTTACATTTGTTTAACCAATTCACAGATAACTTCAAATTCCGGGCATCTCGAAAAGGATCAGATCAACAACAATCTTTGCGCAATCATAGCGCCCAATCGCGAGAATATCGGAGTTGCATTTCAGACTTTATTTTAATCCATTTATTTTCGCTCTTTCCTTTGTACAAAATTTGTATATAAACTGCCTCCAATGATGAGAAAAGAGTTAGAAAATTATTCTAGCACTGTTATTGTAAACTCTCATAGCAAATACAAAAACAGTGGACATAGGCTCAAGAGTTTAACTAGTCAAACCACTTTAAAAACTTTCTTGCCATTTACTTTATCACATTTTATTGTTTAACCATTGTTGGTTATCCGTAATCACTCACACATCAGTTTTGATCCTGTCAAGGTCGATCAGATCACTCTAATTGGTGTATTTTTGCATCAACACTTACAAAGATAATTACAGATGAATTATTTTTTTAATTTGACTCTTAAAATAGGGTGAAATAAGTAGTTAGTTCTAAAAACTAAAAGTTTATGCTAATCTATTTTTAACATAAACTTTTTATTTCCTTTGCAAGTTTCTTCGAATTTTGATACAATAATTTGTAGGTAGCAAATACCATAACAAGGAGCGGTTTTAAGAGCTTTTAATATCACAATACACACTCAAATGGCTTAATAACACTTCTTTAGAATCAAAAGAACAAGATTTGCTAGTGATTGGTTGAGATTTAGCATTTGAAAATGTTAAATTTGGTGGAAAGGTTATTTTGTTAAGGGGGTAATTTCATCTTGAAAATTAAGGGAAAATGTGCTTGGGCTAGTCACTCTTTCCCAACTTAGAATAGTTATTAATTGATGAGTAATAGTATGTTTACAACTGAATCATACAAGCAGACAAAAAATAAATGACAGAATATTAGATGAATTTTGTACAATTTTTATCTAGTTAACTGAATTGTAAACAAAATATTATTGTAAATTCTCACCCCCTATTTGGGTCATTTTCTATAATTTCTCTTTTTTGATTTTTCAAAATAAAATACAAAGAAAACCATAGTCTCAATAATCTTAATTTTTTTTTATTTCTTCAAAATAAAATACAGATAAAACAATGTAGTCTTGATAATCTTAAAAGGATAAATATTAGCTCACAAACTTAATCTTACAAACTTTCTCTTACAACTTCGACGTAACAGTTCGTAATTGATTAGTTAGCAATTAGGTAGACAAACCCATAATAAGTAGATAAAACTCATTTATGAGCTGACCAATTATAATCTATCATATCAAGATTGTAAGAGAAAGTTTATGAAACTAGGTTGTAAATGTAGTATTACACGTCTTAAAATTTTCCTTCCAAAAAGAAAAAAGAAAAAAGGGATCGTTTATGAATAGTTTGTACAGACTGGAGTGTGATGAGTCCTGGACTCTTCGATGTCACAAAGAGATAACTAAAAAAGTACAAACTTTTCACCAAATTTAGAACTAGTCTTTCACACGCAATATCCACTCACTTCACTTAAATCTTTTTTATTTTATTTTTATTTCCTTTAAAACCTCTCCGATTTGCCTAAATGTATCGCAATTAACAACAGTTCAGGCGCCGAGACATCAGGAATATATGTATTACGTGGAAACGAACCCACCAAGTTATTTTAACTAAAAGTTGAAGCAATAAGCCATTACTTCCTTCAGCTTCATCTCTTTCCTATAACTGTAAGTGTTTTTCTTTTTTCTTTTATTTATTTTTGGTTATGTTGTTCAGATCTGCGATTCATGGGTTTTTTTTTTTTGGTTGTAAATGGCGTGTGGAGTTGAGGAGATCTTGATTTGTTTGAATATGATTAATAAATTGCCAACCCAGTTGTTGAAGGGTCAATTTTGAATGGATTAGATGGGTAGAATTAGAATTAAAGAACGTTAACAACAATGGAGATTTAATACTTTGTTTGGTGAATTATACTAGTGATGAGCTAATTGATCATTTGATGTATGTGTTTACAAGATATGGGTAGAAGATCTGAGTTTATGCAGCTGAACCTGTGACTTGTGTTTGTATAATTTAGGATATGGTTCTTGTCATTCTAGATTTATGGGTTAAGTTTGATGGTAGGTTTCATGTCGTTGTGATGGAGATCTTGGGATCAAATTGATCCTGTACCAAGATTAAGAATGGGGATTAGGGGGTTTGGGACCATTTCGGAGGGATAGATGAAAAGGTAAAAGAGAAATGTGGGTACCAATTAGTTTAGATGTTAAAGTTTCTTCTAATTGTACGGTAGGTTTTGGATGTAATACCACATACCGGGGTTCGAGAGCTTGGTTTGGAGTTCAGGGTGCTTATCTGGGTTAATTTGTATGGCCTAGGAATTGTGATTCTGTTGATGTATTGGTTTTTCTTTTTTTGTTTTGAATGTTTCGCTTTCTTCATAGCCTCTTTGTGTTTTCTCCAAAAACAAATGATCTCTGTATTTTGTGTGAAATCTTTATTTAACACAGCACATAATACAACAATTATGTGAAGGAACGAATTGGCTCTTTTGGGTGTTTTTTAGTTCAACTGCAGTGCTGTTCGCACCGATTTTGACGTGCCTTTATTGAAACTTGTCTTATATGTACGTTCTGTTCGTTTGACAGTCGATAATCTCTAGTTAGCATGATTCTGGGAATTGCATCAGATAAAGTGTTTCCTTCTCGTTCATTACGTAAACTATTGGTTTGAATTTCTTGTTCAGATCGTGAACACACGCGTGTTTAATTCAGATTCTTCTTTTAAAAAATAATCTGCTCATGTTAATTTGTTAATAATTAATAACTGGATTTCAGGTTTCTTGTAGTTTGTCCTTGTTTTGTCTTTTGTCATATTGTTTTTACTGTGTTCATATTTGGAAAAATATATATCCTCTCTTTCGTCACATAGCCTTTGCTGTGGTTTCATAATTCTGCTCTTAGTAAGTCTGATGCAGAAGCTGTTCAATCTCTCTTGGGACCTTGGTTTCAGCGACCAACGGTATTTGAATTACTTGATATCTGTGACTTTCATTGTGGGTAGGTGGCAGTTAGCCTATTTATATACTCTAGATGATTGTGAGTGGTTTTTGTGTGTGTTGGGTGGGGGTTGTGGAAATGGCAGAGAGAAGATTTGACAGATTTTGAAAAATTTACTGGGATGTATGAGAATCTAAAGTCAACAACTTCGTCTTGCCATTGTGCTGTATTAATATGATGATTGTAATTGACCATAACCATGAATTATTATTATTATTATTTTGTTTTCAATATTAAAAAGCAAACTATTTGTAATTTCCTTTTCCTCTCAGTTTATGTGCTTTTTTTCTTTTTAAAAGTTTTATATTTTTATGGTAGACAACTCTTTTAGTTGTGAAGTTTGACCTTTTGATGCAACATTATTGAAGATTACTTGTTGCTAAATTTTTTATTCGTAAGAAACATTGACAGTTCGCTTACTGTGAATATGATTTTGATTGTTATTGAAGTAGAATTCTATTCATCTCTATTAGTCGATCTAATCCTTTCAAATGTGTGAATGGTTTTCTAATCATTGTAAATTTAAAAAGCATTTTCTTATATTTAATTATCTACAATAGTCTACTTCAAATTACCATAGTCTATTTTCTCCCCATTATTCCCCCTTTTCCCATTCCATATTTTCTGCGAAATATCCCCTGAATTGAGCCATAAACTTAAAATGATGCAAAAATTTCAGGTTGGCTGAGGAAGTGTGGTATACAAACAAGAATGGTTCTCGAAACTATTTTATCTCCTCATCGGAGGTCAGCATCATTCAAGAGGCAATTTCCTCGAGATGAATTGGGTAGTTGGTCGACGCTCCTCCAGAGGCATCGTTTCCTCTTGACGGCACTGGTTCTCTTGGGCTTTCTCTGTACTGTATATCTCTATTTTGCTGTCACTCTAGGTGCCACAGGATCATGCACCGGATTAACTGGAGCGCAGAGAGCTCAGTGTCAATTAGAGCATGTGAAGGCCTCTGTCTCAAAGGGCAAACTGAAACTTTTCTAGCATATAGATCACAACCCAACCCATATTGTTTTGTATGTTAATTTTCAGATTAAAGAGGGTTGGGAATTTAAGAATGTTATGTAGTCACAGTAATTATGCTTCAACTTGGTGGTGTTCTTGTACACATGATTGATTGTATCAGAATTTGTTTTGGAAGCTTATTATTTTTATTAATGATTATTTTTCATTATTTTGGTAATTTTTTTTTTTTTTTTTTAATGAAAGCAGAATAAAATTTTGTTAGTAGAATTAGAACTTTTTGTATTTTTTTTTTTTTTTTTTTAATGAAAGCAGAATAAAATTTTGTTAGTAGAATTAGAACTTTTTGTAACTATTGTAATATAACTTTTTTTATTTATTTATGTTAAATTAGTTGCATATTCAAAGTATTTGTTTATGAAACATGATCTAAGTAGCCCTCAAGACTATTAGCGTTAAACAATGGTGAGATTCTTCTACTCATAATTTTTTATTATAAATAGCCGATGATTTATTTAAATAATAAAATTATACTTACAATTTTTTTATATAACTTAAGATGATAATTTATAATTAGTCAATTTACATTTAAGTATATGAGATTTATTACGAACTGTCACATCAGAGTTGTATGAAAAAGTTATATGAAAAAATTGTAAGTGTAATACTCCTCTTATTTAAATCCTAATATTTTAGACGTTTTAGTAAACAACTAATATATATATATATATATAGTGTTAATTAGAATGGATAAATAATTAGTTTATATCATATTTGAAGGCAAATAACAAAATCTAACCCTTGTATCACAAAATTAATTTCTTCATCATCAAAGTTGTATTAACACATTCATCATCAACATTGTTATATTGATATCGCTAATTCTTTGTAACTACAAATGGGAAATACTCACTCTTACTAAAAAGTTCTGCATCTCCTTAAAATTATAAAAAATAAATAAATAAAGACAAAAACCGTGGATTGATAATAAAAAATAAAAAATATCATGATAAAAGTATCAAAATCCTCTTTATAAGACATTACTACTTGCTAGGACTTATTCTTAGCGTTGATGCTAATCTATTATCCTAAAAAGAAAAAATAATATATACCACCAAAATTTATTCTCAATAAAGAGTAAGAAAAACGTACTTAGGAATATTTTCAAACGCCTGGTAAAATAAAAATACCACCCTCAGATAATTTTTAAAATATAATGATCAAACACCTTGTTACCATTATACCCTCAGACGGTGACGTTGAAACGTGTTCACAAAAAAAGTTTCAAAATATCATTTTTCCTTTCAACATTTAGATTTCATTAATACCAAAAATATATTTTACTTTCTCAGCCAACGTTCAACAAGTTACCAAAAGCTAGAATAAGAGAGTTTTTGTAGAGTAAAAGTCAATAGATCGAATAGTGGTGACCAATTGAATATTCGTCATTGGAATCAACTAAAAATAAGAAACCTTATCTTTGCGATGGTCAACAATCGATGAGAAATCAAATACCGGAATAAAAGAGTTTTGTAGAGAAAAGACTGGAGATTTAAATGGTGGTGATGAAAATAACTTTTGTCGTCAGAATAGGTTAAAATCGGCTTTGGGTAGTAAAGAAGTATTAACTTTGGGTGAAAAAATAATATTTTGAAATCTTTTAGATGGGGAAGTGTCATTAGGCAAACCTTGCGTGGGAAAAATTCGTTTACTCTAGACTCTAGTATCATTCATGTACGTTAACGTTTTATAACATGTCTAATTAATTTAAAATTCAAATTATACAGATAATTCACATTTTATGTTGTCCGCTTAATGTTCACATAATTCAAATTTATATCATATGGTTATATAATGTAACATCTTATATATTTATAACAAAAGAAATAATCTTTTTGGTGGTACCCCTAAACAGGAAGAATCCTACTTCAGCAATCATCTTCTCAACTCTTGCCCAATTATATAGAGGCATATAGCGGAAGAAGTAAGAGCTCATAAACTCAAGAGTGGCGAAGAAAAAAGAGTACAGAGATTGCGTAGCAATGGCGGAGACTCACTTACAAGAAGAGCATCTCGATGTTCTCACTAAAACTGGTCAGAAAACTGGCGTTTCTAAGCCCAGGCATGTCATCTCCTCCGTTGCTATTTTTCCATTCTTTATATAGATGAATATATACTCGGTTTCCAACTCGATGAGAAGACGTCGTTTCAGTTAATTATATTCAGCGGTAGTTTCCTTTTTAGACCGGTAATAATCGATTAGTCAGTTTCCAATTGAACTGCACGAGGTCGTTTTGATGAATTCTCTTTAGCAGTTACTGGATATTATAAAGAATTCAACAATGAAGTCGATGATCTTATGCTAAAAGTTAAGTCGTGTGAATTTCATCCTAATTGTGAGAAAGGAGGATTAAATTTTAAGAAAACATGTTTTGATTTGATGATTTTTTTTTTTTTTTTAAAAAAAAAAAGAGTTTTGATTTTGGATGTGTGTAATCATTAATCAATTCTGTTCAAAATGTAAAAACGAAAAATAAGTTTTATCTGTTTTCTATAATTATTGAATTGAAAACAGTTTTAAAATTTTTTGTCTTATATTGTTATTATTATTATTTTAAACTTATTTCCCTCTTTAAGTAGCATGTTTAACTTTATAGCATGATTCGTTGGAGTGATGTTTCTCTGTTAAATGTCGCATTGGTTGTTAATAATCTATCTGTTTTCTCCAATATTTGTTTCAAAAAATTGTACGTTGAGCATTTCGTATTTTGCGGTTGGCTAATTATTAATCTTACTTGCATGTTGTAATGTTATATCATCATCTAGAGAGAAAGCTGCATTGGCTTTATTTTTATGCATTGGTTTTGATATGTGATCAAACAAAATGCCTGATCATTTGTGGTTTACATCTGTAACAGAATTCTCCATTTCTTATAATATTGCTCTATAAATTGAGTGTTGAGCTGTTGTTTTGGTCAAACATATTCCTCTATATTTCTAAGTTCGCTCTTAAATATAACTTTGCTGTCCATTCAGGGGAGATGTTCATCGAGATGGAGATTACCATCGAGCTGTCCATGTGTGGATTTTTGCTGAGAGTACACAGGAGCTACTTCTCCAACGACGTGCTGACTGTAAAGATTCATGGCCAGGGTTGTGGGATATCTCAAGTGCTGGCCATATATCAGCTGGTGATTCATCACTTATAACAGCCCAGTAAGGGAATCCATTCTTTATAATGCGGCTTTCTCTTAATGCTAGTTTTTGATAGATTTATTTATCCTTTTAGTGTTTGTTTTTTGGGATCTTTCTTCTTTATGCCTTGTGAGTCCTGAGGAGAAAATATTGTTTTCCTGTATTGAGTTGGACCTCTCTCTTTTCTGTTGGTTTATTTTTCTATATTTTTATGGTTCATAAATTAACAATTTAGATTAAAGAGTCAGCCAGGCATTGTACTAGGTGTTTTCTTCCGTCAATCTACCAACTGCCTATGTTGGGCTGTAGGGGATCGGTGGTACACTAAGATGACTGTGATCCATTGGGGAATCTAGCTGTGCTGTTTTTTTAATGAGTCTTTGAAACAGAAAAAGCTTGAACATTCCAAACTAAGCTCCCGAAGTTAACTTTACATATATAATGGCACCATTGGAAGAGCTGAGGGGTTGAAGTGACCTTGTAGGAAAAGGTCTTCCTCCTGTATAATGTTTTGAGTAGTATGAGTTACATTGGTTCATTTCATATTAGTATGAATGTTTCTCTCTAGTTTGCAATGTCTTTATGTTTAAATAGTGTGTCAGTACTATGTGTTCATCCAATAGCGTCCTTTGGATTGTTGGGAAAACACCCTTCTTGCCTTCGTAGAATTTGAGAACTAATGAGATCAATGAAATGCAATAGAGTGAGAGAGAGGTTATTGAATCAATAGTCATCAACTTTTTCCCTTAGATTTTCTGATGCCGGCATGCCATCATAACTTTTTATCCCTTAGATTTTCTGATGCCAGTTTTAGAGTAGTAGACTTTTATTAGTACCTTTTTCTGTGATATCTATTATGATCCTTTTTCAGCTAATGATGGCTACTGGTACTGGAAGCTGATCCCTTTTTTTTCTTCTTTTCTTTATCTATGCTGACAAACGTGATTCAGTTTTCACATTTTCTGAAAATGAAATGCTTCTTTAAATGAAGATTGGTGGCGGTTAAGTAAATGCTGAGATTGTGAAGAATAGACTTCTTCTTCTTCGTCTTTTTTTTTTTTTTTTTTTCTCCTGAATTGCTTTCATATTTATCTTTTTATTCTGACATGATATAGATTTTGGGTTCGACACAGTTTTTCCTTTGTGCTGGTTCTGGTTTTAAAATTGTCTGCCTACTAGTAATGCTTGTTAATGAAACCTGGTACTCTTTGCAATCAGGAGGGAGCTTCATGAAGAGCTGGGTGTAAACCTTCCTAAGGATGCATTTGAGTTGATTTTTGTTTTTCTCCAAGAGTGGTGAGTATATGGAATACCTTCATCCTTGTATGGTACTTATGTTTATGTTCTTATTTTAGTGGTTCTTATGAGGTTTTCTGGTTCATGCCCTTCTTCCATTATTGTCAAGTTCAATAGCTTTCTCCTCATCTTCTCAGTGAAGTAATGGAGCCTTTTTCTCTCGATCTCTTGTAAAGGAAAATCTGAAAAGAAATGGAAAAAAAGCATCCATTTTTTCATCACAATAGTGATTAATTACTAGACAAAATATTTTAAAAATCCGTTGGTGGAAAGATGAGGTAGTCTTGTGTGGCTTAAAATTGAGTTTGGGTTTATATTAAAATCAACTTAGGCATGATCTTCTTGCCTAAAATTGGGTGGAATATTATTGAAATGGATGACCTGGTTGTATTAAATTAATAGATTGATCAAACAATGTCAATAACGTTTTTGTGAATTTAAAGAGTAACAAAATTCTCTTGTACAACCCTAAAATGTTACAATATGTCAAACACCTGATCAACACTTAAGTTGTGCTGGACTTTAAAGATGCCTCCTGTACCTGCAGACATGCACACTTGAAACAGTCAAACACAAAACACTAGGCTGCATTTCCCTCAGTACCAGAATAGTGTAGTTCTGACTGTAACTCAAACGTAATAGATTTTAGAAATATACTTTTAGTTCTAAAGTAGTGGTGGATGAATTGAGTAAGATAATGTGATATGCTTATTGCTAGTCCAGGGTCTG